CAATCCTTCTAAATGAATATTCGCCGTCCCAGCCTTAGAGTTTTTAGGTCATTACATTGACTCTCAGGGCATCAAACCACTCCCAACAAAAGTTGAAGCTATTACCAATTACCCTGAACCAACCTCTATAAAGTCATTACGCCGTTTTCTCGGGACGTGCAACTTCTACCGCCGATTCCTACCACGATGTGCGGATGTGTTACAGCCGTTAACTGATTTACTGAAAAGTGACAAAAAAGGCACGAGGAAGGAAAAGAATCAAACATTCAAGCTACCTCCTGACGCTAAAATTGCATTTGAAAAAGCAAAGTCCTTGATAGCCAACGCTACCACGTTACAACACCTCAATACCGACCCCACCACCCATTTGATCCTATGTACAGATGCCTCACAGAAAGCTGTCGGGGCTGTATTGCAACAACAGGTAAATAACATGAATACTCCCGTAGCGTTTTATTCCAAGAGATTGTCACCAGCACAAGAACGTTATAGTACCTTTGGATGCGAACTTCTAGCTATGAATTTAGCAGTAAAACATTTCAACTTCTTGCTACGGGGTCGTGATTTCATCATTAAGACAGATCATAAACCCCATTGCCATTCTTTTAGCACATCGTATGACAAACACTCCCCACGAGGAGCAAGACAACTTGATTATATCTCCCAATTTACTACGGATATCAGGTTTATCAAAGGTCACACAAACATTGTCGCAGATGCACTATCTAGGAGGGATATCAATACGATGGTACTCAATCATGACATTAGCCTTGAAACCTTGGCTAAACTTCAAGTAGACGATGCAGAATTGAAAGTCTGCAAAGAAAAGTCTAGCTTAGATCTCAAACCTGTACCAATTCCTCTTTCAGATGCATTCATCATGTGCGACACTTCAACAGGCAACAATCGTCCGTTTGTCCCAGACACTTGCCGACGAAAAATATTTCAGCACTTGCACGCTCTTTCACATCCAGGCATCAGAGCAACAACAAAGCTCATTACCGAACGTTTTGTGTGGCCTAAAATCAACTCGGATGTTAAACGTTGGACACGTAACTGCCTCCAGTGCCAACGCAGTGAAACGCAGAAACACACCTACAGTCCAATCGGGAAGTTCCATATCCCTGACAAACGCTTCCAGCACGTGCATTTAGATTTAGTTGGGCCTCTGCCACTATCAAACTCTTTCACACATATCCTCACCGCAATAGATAGGTTCACAAGATGGGCCATAGCATGCCCCATTAAAGACACATCAGCAGAGACAGTGGCTTCAGTTTTCCTCGACCGCTCGATATCCAGCGTATCATCCGGCAGCTAATGGCATGGTTGAAAGATTCCATCGCCAACTAAAAAGCTCTCTGATGGCACAACCGGACTCTTCAAAATGGAGCGATGCTTTACCGGTTGTTCTCCTCGGGATTCGCTCGTCAGTAAAGAAAGACATCGGATGCACGGCCGCTGAACTAGTCTATGGCACAACATTAACGTTACCAGGACAACTGGTCAAGAATGAACCCACAACGCCAGGAGATCCTTCTCGTTTTGTAAGCAGATTACTACAAATGATGCAGAACATCAGAGCAATACCACCTACAGAACACAACAACCGAGTCCATCTCGATAAACATTTAGAAACGTGCAAATTTGTTTTTGTTCGAGTAGACGCGGTGAAAAAGCCACTGACACCACCATATGAAGGTCCTTATAAAGTAATTAAACGCACTCACAAATATTTCATTATCAACAAAAATGGGAACCATGAGACAATTTCCATGGACCGAATAAAACCAGCTTTCTACGAAGTCCCTCAAAACACAGAAGACAATACTGCGAACAAACAATCACTCGCATCTATTGCTAATAAACAAGAGGAAGAAATAAAACTTAGCACTACACCCTCTTGTTTAACATGTTCTGGGAGACTTATGAAAAAACCAAAGCGTTACGTACATTTTGCCGTATAAAAAAACAACTAAAACAATCAAAGCAAACAATTATCGAGGACCTACACTATCAATCTCATCTAAAAAGTTTTTTTCCTTTTCACAATGTTCATAATTAATCACATTTTTCCACAATTATTCGTTTTGTCACATTTTTTTAATAAAAAATAAACGAGTAAATTCCATTTAATTACCCATTTATTGCACACAAAAATAAACAGTTCAATTTTCTTTTCTTTTGGGTCATTAGCAGTTTTGCACATTATTATAATCATTGTTAGCCAACCAAGACATTAAATGACAGCGTCTTCATTTTGTGTGTGTGTGTGTTTATTTTGCTATGCTACACCTCTGCTACATGTCATACTCATCTCCACATTTTTGTTAGCTATAACTGTAAATATTATTTTTGTATACATGTATATGACATATCCTTACATTTCTTTTTATTTATTATAACTAGTGTTACCTCCGGACACTGGGGGGAGCGATGTGGGATAGGCCTGACAGCCTTATTTTGTAAATGGTTTTCAATGTTATTGGTATTTATTTTGTCAATTTCTCACCGCATTTACATTTATCATTAAATGATTGTACCTGTTGTTTTAGTAAATGACCTTGACCAGTTTTTCCGTTGTGATACTAACATAGCGTGACACACTTTTGGTTGTTCGCAAACACACTACTACACACACACGCTCCTTGTTCTATTCTCACGCGTTATCGAGCTAATCGCATTCTAAATCGAATATTATCCACATTTTAGACTGCTGTGCCACTTCTATTACACCCTGATTTAAGTAACGTCCCTGAACTTTTAAATTGTGTTACTAATTTATAAATCGTTATTGTTACATTAACTTTTGGACGTAATAAATTTATCGCTAATTTTTGGTTATTGTACTTTTTGATCCACCACAAGATCATTGGGTAACAGTGTGTAGACTTCATGTCGTATTGTGGTGTAAGCCACTTACATCCATATAAGTAGAATATAACGATGGTCAGGAATAGAATGTATTTCAGTAGGAGATCGAGAAGGAAAGAACGGGATCGGAAAGCAGTTGGTATGAAATTGCATGAACAATGAAATGTGAGACGATGGAGTGATATTTGCAAAAGAAACAGTCGAGTTTGAGACAATTGTTTGATATTTTGCAAACTAAGTATTTACTGTATGGTTGTTAGAGTTTACTAAGATGTTCTGTAATTTCGTGACCAGAAGCAATCGATTGCCCCCACTCGTGTTCTTGTTCACTACAGTATGAATGTCCTTCGAGTAAAAATTCGTCTTTATATTAGGCTTGCACACTGATGGATTCACCTTTACCCTGAAGATCGAATCTAGTCAGTTATCAGTGATAACCAGCGTGGAGCCTGGCACAAGTGCACGTTAGCTCAGACTGTCATACTACTTTGACATGACTAGGTGAATTTTGGAAGATAAATTCTAATATTGTGAGTATGGTTTGAGAAGATCGAATGAAAAGATATGTTTGAAGGAAAGTGACTGGACTTGCTCCATTTTGCCTGATTCTGAGCCATGTCACTCAACCTACTTTTATCCACTGATGGCAATTATGGCCCAAGCCTAAAGGAAGTAATCTACATCTACCAATATGGCTCAAATCAACAGTCGATGACTTCATGGACGAATGCTATATATTTTGATTTAGCTGATCAAAGCCTTCTTCCAACGTGCTCTCACGTCATAAAAACTGGTACTGCACCCACTGTTTTGCATTCATCTCGATAACTTCATATTGTTTCAATGATGCGGTTTGGAAATTTGAATTACCGATTAACATTTGTGCCAGGTTTTACGTTGCTTATGGCCGATTGACTAATAAACCTATTCAATTTCATTGTCATTACCTACTTTTCACTTGTACGTAATTGATACCCTCTTATCTTTACAAGTTGTCTTGACATTGTCACTAAAGATTGTATTTCCTATTGAATTTGTAATTTCTAACAATCGATTGTTTTAAAACTTGATAAATTACGTAACTTCTATAGGCATTTAATATTCGGATGGATTGCGAGCTGTTTGGATCAGTCGTTAATCAGATCGTGCAATCTGTGACTTACCTAACAGGAAACATTAAAGTTAAAATAAAGAAGAGTAGTGTGTTATTTCGTCTAAGAGTAGGATTCTCCATTTTTATGTATGCAGATATCTCCACCTTGAATCATTTTCGAGGATATTGAAGTTACCTTCTGACGAATAATTCCGGAATCCCACCAACGAAAACCTCCAAAGTAAACCATTCTCCACAAACCTTATGCAAACGAATTACTAATTTTGAGATGTCATTTCATTGTATTCACGGGTATATGAATTGCATGTGAAATAAGGATCCCTGAAATAACGCAATTGAATCAAGAAGTACGACACGAACATGAACGAATGTATTGTATTTAGAATTCGAAATCGAGCATTTAAAAAGTACAAGATAGTACAAAAGTACAATCATTAGTTTGTTCAAACACCACATTCGCCACAGCTTGAATTGGAGTCTAGGTGTTTGTAATTAATCGTACGTCTTCTTCTCAAATTCATCCTGAGTCTGTCCGACATTGTATTGGATAAAAACTCTGTATTATCTAGAATGCACTCTTTAGTATTAAAATTGACAACCGGAATCGGAACTGACTCACCTGGTTCCTGAAATTGTATTTGATCAACATGTCGACTGTGTGTACTTAAGTCATTGATGTCTAGAATTCATACCATCGATATTCCGACATTCGTCAGAACAATACCCGTAGATGGTCGAAGATCACTTCCTCGATAGTATGTAACTTCTGCAGACTCCAAACATCTCATATTCGACCGAAGATTTCTTCCTTTTAGTAGCTTCGCTGGAGTCTCCTTCGTCACCGACTGTCTGGCATTTCTATATTGCAACAGAAAGGTATCTACTCCCCTCTCCAGCTCATTAAATGTTGAGGCGGCTATAGAATCAATAGCAGTCTTTAATGTCCTGACAAAATTTTCTACCTGACCATTAGAACACGGATGTCTGGAAGCAGTTAAAAGATGTTTGCACCCGATATCATTCAACCAGGTAGTGACTGCATCTGCAGCAAAATGAGAGCCATCATCACTCACTAACACCATAGGAACCCCTTCTCGACTGAACACCTTTCTTAATGCTTGGATTGTGAAATTAGAATTCGGTGAAGTTGTGAAAAAACTTCAGGCCACTTTGAAAAAGAATCAACAACTACTAGTGCATAGTATTTGCCAAGAAACGGACCACAATAGTCAGCATGAATTCTCTGCCAGGCCTCAGAAGATACTGGCCATGGTGTCCACTTCCAAGGCTGATTTTTCAACAGATGACATTTTTCACAATTGTTTGCCCTACGACATATAACTGCATTTATCTCTGGCCACCAACATGTGAGCCTTGCCAAGGACTTCATTTTCTCAACACCTAAATGACCACCATGAAGATCTTCAAGAACAGATTTACGCAGTGAGGGAGGGATGACAACACGATCATTTAAACACAAAATACCATCAGGCGTAGTGGATAGCTCATCCCGCTCTGAAAAATAGATAGGAAATCTACGTTCCAAATTAGCACTCCAGCCTTTCTGTATAGCACTGAGTATACATCCAAAATATCTGCGAGTTTCTCTAATGAGATCTGAACGTCTCACTGGTAAAGGTTGCACTAACAAACAGTCCGAAGTATTAATAGATCTATCTTGTAATGACTGTCGAGAAATGTAGTCAACATGTTGAATTTGTTTGGCACTCTTGTGCTGAACCGTATAGTCATATGTACTCAAAACAATACTCCATCGTTGAACCATAGCAGCTTGGGAACGTGCCAAGGACTTTTCAGGATGATAAATAAACCTTAAAGCTTCATGATCCGTAACAATGGTGAGTTTCTTTCCGAATAAATATTTATGAAGTCTTTTAAGAGCCCAAAACAAAGCTAATGCTTCTCGCTGAGTTTGTGAATAACCTCGTTCAGTAACAGTAAGTTTGCGTGAAACACAAATAACTGGTCTACATTCCTGTTCCAAAACTGCACCAATACCCGCCGGTGATGCATCAGTAATGAGCACAGAATGCACACTGTGGGAGTAAGTTCGAAGAACAGCGTCACTTTGAAGAAACTTTAGTAGACTTCGTAAGCATGACTATTGCTCCTCACTCCATTTGAATGATTGGATGTGAAAATATTAAATAAACAATTTGCACGACAAGAAAAATTAGGAATAAAACGGGAATAGTATTGAAGAGCGCCCACTAGTGGACGTAATTCCGTAGGATTTTTGGAGACGGTGCATTTGTCAGTGGAGCTAGTCGTTTCATATCTGGGCTAAAACCATTACCATCAACTAGGTATCCAAGGCATTCGAAACTAGATACACAAAATGAACACTTATTTGGATTCACTGTAATATTCTTCTCAATTAGACGACGCAATAAAGCAATAAGTCTCTGGTCATGAAATACCTTATTAGAACCATGAACAATGAGGTCATCTTGATAAACTTCAACACCTCCAAGACCACTAACTATCTTATTCATAACTTCCTGAAATATGGCTGGAGAACAACTCAGACCAAATGGAAGGAAATTGTATTTGAACAGACCAAAAGGAGTGTTAATTGTAGTCAAAATAGATGAAGATTGATCTAAAGGGACTTGAAGATGAGCATCTTTTAGGTCAACTTTCGAGAACACTTTACAACCATGAAGTCGATTTAGAATATCTTCAGCCTCTACCGTCGTGCACGTTTGCTTCAACAAACGGGAATTCAATGTGAATCTATAGTAACCACACATTCTAGAGTTCTTGTCGTCCGACTTCAGTGGCGTAACAATAGGAGTACTCCATGCTGAAGACTGAATCGGTTTAGTTATGCCTTTCTCACAAAAGTCGTTCAATGTCTTCTGTACTGCTTCTCGAAGACCATAAGGAATTATTCGTTTTTTAGGAAAGACTGAATCACCCTGTACTTGAAGTCTTACGCTGAATTTCCATACATCCACTGCACTTAGCACAGATAGCTATCAAATCTTTGGGTAATGTATCAAAATTTTCTTCAGGAACAGGAAATACAACTACACTCTAAACCTTTTCAAACTCCTTAAACCCAGTATTGACAGTCCTGTTTCGCTAACTAAAAATTCATAAGGTGTGTATGAAGAATTATCATCTATTATAGCAATTCGCAACATCCTCGTATGGGCAGTCTGTGTTCAGTAATCCCCAATATTGACGCTTCGGTGGGTCGTACCACAACGTTAGGATCTAAAGATTTCAAGTTCTTGAATGAAATAATGGGCTCTTTACTGTCTGTGTCCACAATAAAGTCATGACATGAACCAAGTGATGTATATAATCGCTTTTGAATATGAGCATTATTTTTCGAAATGGTAGGCAAAGATAAGTGATCACTAGGGACATCCGAATTATTGAGATTTAACTTATAAGATTTAGTACTACTTGCGTTAACCCTAACATTAACCTAACCTCAAACACTAACCTAACCCTAACCCTAACACTAACCCTAAACCTAACCCTAAACCTAACTCTAAACATAACCCTAACCCTAAACCCTAACCTTAACCATAACCCTATGGACGAGTTTCTATACGATATGCATTATGAATTCACAACTACTGAGCCTTTATCAAACTTTAACAAGTTTTTAAATCATGTAAAAGAAGAATATCTACGGCGAGACTCTAATTTAGCGACGAGTCAATCAGAAGCGTTTGGGCAATTTCAAGGTCACGGAGCCAAGTTCAACACGCTCTGCTAACATACGATCGGTTCACAGCGGAGATTAGAGAGTGGGTGATTAATAAAAAACCTATTTCACTTCCTTATGCAACTCTTAGGGAACTATTATTAAATCATGTAGAGTGCACTAGTTTTGAACGCCGTGAAAGGGCGAAATTTCATAAGATGATTCGTCAAAATGGCCAAAAGGTTAGAGAATTCATCTTTGAACTGCAGAAACAAGCTGCCAAATGTAATTTTGGTGATCAGCTTCATGTGCAAATGAGAGATTGGTTGATTTCAGGAATTAACATACCGGGTTTGGAAAGAGAGCTGTTAAGAATGCCGAACTGTTCCTTTCAAGATGGTACAACTGCGTGTTTTAAATAGGAGGCAGTGAATGAAGTTGATATCCAGTCGATGGAAATTTCTAATACTTTGCTTAGTCGTCGTGATGAAATTCAATCTCAGGGCCAGTCAAACTTGCGTTCGCTTAACAGCGATTCTTATTCTCGTGTAAATATGAAAGATGTTTCAACAAGGAATCACAAAGGTGAGATGAAGTTTGGCAAGTGTTTATCATGTGGAACGTTCCATTCTCATAATTCATGTGCATTTCGTAATGCTAAATGTTTTAAATGTGGTAAGATAGGACACAACCAGTCAGTATGCAAAATTACTGTCCATTTTGCTTCAAGTAGTACTAAATCTTATAAGTTAAATCTCAATAATTCGGATGTCCCTAGTGATCACTTATCTTTGCCTACCATTTCGAAAAGTAATGCTCATATTCAAAAGCGATTATATACATCACTTGGTTCATGTCATGACTTTATTGTGGACACAGACAGTAAAGAGTCCATTATTTCATTCAAGAACTTGAAATCTTTAGATCCTAACGTTGTGGTACGACCCACCGAAGCGTCAATATCGGGGATTACTGAACACAGACTGCCCATACGAGGATGTTGCGAATTGCTAATAATAGATGATAATTCTTCATACACACCTTATGAATTTTTAGTTAGCGAAACAGGACTGTCAATACTGGGTTTAAGGAGTTTGAAAAGGTTTAGAGTGTAGTTGTATTTCCTAGCTTTTGGAGAAAATTCGGCGACTCTAATTTGGAGATGACTTTTTAGCGAATCTTAAATGACCTTGACAATTATTAGTCAATGAGAAGACAGTTAGTATAAAGTGAAAATATATTGTAAGTAAGTAATGAATTACAGTGGATATTCTTCTTTTACATGATTTGAAATATCCTTGAGTTTTGATGACGGTTCAGAGGTTCTGAATTCATAATAATTGAAATTGCTCAAACGCTTCTCATTGGCTCGTCCCTAAATTAGAGTTTCACCGTCCCATCTGTTTTAACCTCTCATTATTCACCTCCTCTCTAAGATCCGCTGTGAACCGACCGTATGTTAGCATCGCGTGTTGAACTTGGCTCCGTGACCTTGAAATTGCTCAAACGCTTCTGATTGACTCGTCGCTAAATTAGAGTCTCGCCGAAAATTCTGATACTTTACCCAAAGATTTGATAGCTACGTGTGCTAAGTGCAGTGGAGGTATGAAAATTCAGCATATAAAACTTCAAGTACAGGGTGATCCAGTCTTCCTTGAAAGACAAATAATTCCTTATGGTCTTTGAGAAGCAGTACAGAAGACATTGAACGATATTTGTGCGAAAGGCATAACTGAACCGATTCGGTCTTCAGCATGGATAACTCCTACTGTTACGCCAATGAATAATAATGAATGTTACTTGTGAACTGCTTCATGTGAACAACGACCACAATCTGAGTTCACTTGATTGACAGGTGCTCCTCTGCAAGTGACTGCAGCAATGACAGTTTACAGTTTGGGAAAGACAGGAGGCTCGGTGGCCTATGTTAGTCCTGGCAATGATGGTCTCTCAGTTGATTCAACTTTCTTTTGAAAGAGTCGACGGATGGAGACTCAACCACGTGCTGAGGTAGTGAATTCCACTCGATGAAGATTCGACGGGAAAGTTGATAGTCAGCTGAGAAGTAATTTGTTCTCGGATTATGTACTTTTTTGGAGTGTCCTCGTAAATTCTCTGTTTTGGAAGACAAGAAAAATGAGGGCATATCAGGTGCAAATTTATCACTAAGCAATTTGTAGACTGTAATCAAGTCGCCTCTAGTTCTGCGATATGACAACGGGAAAAGGTTCAGCTTGGCCAGTCGAGATTCATACGGAAGCTTCGCTATTGCGGGAACCAGCTTAGTCGCCATCCTCTGAACCTTTTCCAGAAGCTCACTGTCTTTTTTTAAGCAGGGGCTAGCCGCTTGTATGCAGTACTCAAGTTTAGGACGAACGAACACTGTATACAAAGTCAAAAACGTTTTAGCGTCGACATGACTAAAAGCTCTACGTATTGACCATAACGTTCTAAAACCTTTGGCGGCTATTGCACGGCAGTGTGCAGTAGTCTTTAAGTCTTGGCTAACGATAACTTCTAAGTCACTATATGTCTGGACGACAGGTAGCTCAGTGTTATTCATCGTGTATGTATCTGTGCCTTGATGACCGATATGCATCACAACACACTTGGAAGTATTTATCGGCAACTGCCAGGTTTGAGACCATTCAGATAACTTCTTCAGGTCATTTTGAAGTTGTAAGTTATCACTTTTATATCGTATCGTTTTCCATATCTTGACATCGTCAGCATATAGCAAGACCGATGATGATAGGAGACGAGGAAGGTCATTTACATACAAGAGGAATAGCACTGGCCCCAAAACTGTATCCTGGGTTACTTCGCTAAGCGCATTTTCCCAGCTAGATAACTTTGAGTTCACGCTTACTCTTTGTTGACGCCCAACTAAGAAGTCTTTTATCCACATCAATAAATTGCCTCTAATCCCGACTTTTCTTAACTTATATAACAGCCGGTTGTGCGGAACTTTGTCGACAGCTTTACTGAAATCAATGAAGGCGACGTCTACAGGTAGCTTTTGGTCCTTAAGAGCTCACCAGCTTTCACGAGCCACTAACAAGTTAGTGAGACATGAATAACCTATTCTGAAGCCGTGCTGCTTCTCCGAGAGGATCCGGTTTTTATCGAGATACTTAAACAGCTCCTTCCTTCCGAATAATCTTTCTAAGATTTTAACAACCACACTAGTTAGGCTAACGAGGCGGTAATTCTCAGGTTTGTGTTTCGTACCTGTTTTGAAGACAGGACTTGCTGTGGCGTTTTTCCGGTCTTTCGGTAAACGACCCTGCGTAACGGATAGGTTAAAGCATGTACTTAAAGGGCTTGCAACAAAGTTAGATAATTCCTTCAGTAGCCTAGGATGTAATTCATCGGGCCCCGTGGATCTACCTATGTCAAGCTTATTTAGCAGACCAAAGACATCGAGTTCTTTAATGGTCACGCAATACAGTGTATGTATGGGGGGATCTGTATACGCTGACGGGAAGGGCACTTCTACGGTATATACGTTGCTAAAGTAGTTCGAGAACACTTGAGCCTTACCAAAGTCGTCCTCCACTAATGATGAAGCAGTACTGTCTCCCCATAGAGCAGGAATATTTCCTTTTCTCCTTGGCCCTTTGTTTATATAGGGATACAAGCGTTTAGGACATTCAATGGATAATAATAATATATTTCTGCATGTGCAGGTACACACCGTTTTTACAGGCATGATCTATAAATTACAACATTTGTTGGTTCGCAAAATGCTTCCCAACTTATTAAGTTTATAGTTGTTATAAAGTGAAATCATAGAGCGCTTGCTGTAAACTATGACCTTGAGAGGGCGCGTACGTCAAGTTTATTTCAAAAGTCAGAAGTTTCATAGCTGTGCTCTCAGAGCAAGATTCTGAAGAAGAAAAAAAGAGAAACAGACGAGCAGCAAGACACTTGGATATGAACGCCAAAGGTTGCTTAACATTGTGTAGTAGGACGGACAGAGGTATAATAAATTAGAATAAATTCATATTGTCTTGTTAGAGTGAAGTGAAGTCAGAGGCTCCATATTAGAGAATGTACTAATAAAGAACAATGAGTTGTGATGTTTAACAAGTTGGAGTAAGCTCACATGAAGGAAGGGAAGTCAAGGTTGGCACAAGGGACGACAAACCTCTAGAATGTGTGGTTACTATAGATTCACATTGAATTCCCGTTTGTTGAAACAAACGTGCACGACGGTAGAGGCTGAAGACGTTCTAAATCGACTTCATAGTTGTAAAGTGTTCTCGAAAGTTGGCCTAAAAGATGCTCATCTTCAAGTCCCTTTAGATCAATCTTCATCTATTTTGACTACAATTAACACTCCTTTTGGTCTGTTCAAATACAATTTCCTTCCATTTGGTCTGAGTTGTTCTCCAGCCATATTTCAGGAAGTTATGAATAAGATAGTTAGTGGTCTTGGAGGTGTTGAAGTTTATCAAGATGACCTCATTGTTCATGGTTCTAATAAGGTATTTCATGACCAGAGACTTATTGCTTTATTGCGTCGTCTAATTGAGAAGAATATTACAGTGAATCCAAATAAGTGTTCATTTTGTGTATCTAGTTTCGAATGCCTTGGATACCTAGTTGATGGTAATGGTTTTAGCCCAGATATGAAACGACTAGCTCCACTGACAAATGCACCGTCTCCAAAAATCCTACGGAATTACGTCCACTAGTGGGCGCTCTTCAATACTATTCCCGTTTTATTCCTAATTTTTCTTGTCGTGCAAATTGTTTATTTAATGTTTTCACATCCAATCATTCAAATGGAGTGAGGAGCAATAGTCATGCTTACGAAGTCTACTAAAGTTTCTTCAAAGTGACGCTGTTCTTCGAACTTACTCCCACAGTGTGCATTCTGTGCTCATTACTGATGCATCACCGGCGGGTATTGGTGCAGTTTTGGAGCAGGTATGTAGACCAGTTATTTGTGTTTCACGCAAACTTACTGTTACTGGGAAAGTTATTCACAAACTCAGCGAGAAGCATTAGCTTTGTTTTGGGCTCTTAAAAGACTTCATAAATATTTATTCGGAAAGAAACTCACCATTGTTACGGATCATGAAGCTTTAAAGTTTATTTATCATCCTGAAAAGTCCTTGGCACGTTCCCAAGCTGCTATGGTTCAACGATGGAGTATTGTTTTGAGTACATATGACTATACGGTTCAGCACAAGAGTGCCAAACAAATTCAACATGTTGACTACATTTCTCGACAGTCATTACAAGATAGATCTATTAATACTTCGGACTGTTTGTTAGTGCAACCTTTACCAGTGAGACGTTCAGATCTCATTAGAGAAACTCGCAGATATTTTGGATGTATACTCAGTGCTATACGGAGAGGCTGGAATGCTAATTTGGAACGTAGATTTCCTATCTATTTTTCAGAGCGGGATGAGCTATCCACTACGCCTGATGGTATTTTGTGTTTAAATGATCGTGTTGTCATCCCTCCCTCACTGCGTAAATCTGTTCTTGAAGATCTTCATGGTGGTCATTTAGGTGTTGAGAAAATGAAGTCCTTGGCAAGGCTCACATGTTGGTGGCCAGAGATAAATGCAGTTATATGTCGTAGGGCAAACAATTGTGAAAAATGTCATCTGTTGAAAAATCAGCCTTGGAAGTGGACACCATGGCCAGTATCTTCTGAGGCCTGGCAGAGAATTCATGCTGACTATTGTGGTCCGTTTCTTGGCAAATACTATGCACTAGTAGTTGTTGATTCTTTTTCAAAGTGGCCTGAAGTTTTTTCACAACTTCACCGAATTCTAATTTCACAATCCAAGCATTAAGAAAGGTGTTCAGTCGAGAAGGGGTTCCTATGGTGTTAGTGAGTGATGATGGCTCTCATTTTGCTGCAGATGCAGTCACTACCTGGTTGAATGATATCGGGTGCAAACATCTTTTAACTGCGATTAATTACAAACACCTAGACTCCAATTCAAGCTGTGGCGAATGTGGTGTTTGAACAAACTAATGATTGTACTTTTGTACTTTTTAAATGCTCGATTTCGAATTCTAAATACAATACATTCGTTCATGTTCGTGTCGTACTTCTTGATTCAATTGCGTTATTTCAGGGATCCTTATTTCACATGCAATTCATATACCCGTGAATACAATGAAATGACATCTCAAAATTAGTAATTCGTTTGCATAAGGTTTGTGGAGAATGGTTTACTTTGGAGGTTTTCGTTGGTGGGATTCCGGAATTATTCGTCAAAAGGTAACTTCGGGTTGCGATCGACTTCCTATATGACTGAGATATACTTATAATTGATTGTTCACTTATTAGTGACCAACGTCACATTTTTCTAGTTTTATATATATTGCTGACCGAATTTTATTGGTCTAGTTACAGGTACACTCTGCTGACGAGTTCCCAGTACTATGAAACCTAGATTCATGATTTCTTGTCAACCACCTCCAACCATCTAACATAGTTTTACCCTATTTGTTATGTCGTTCTTAGCACTTAAAGTTAGGTATGTGGTAGTGGTGGTGATAGTTGGTTAATTCGATTGATGTAGACTATAACATGATGGGTAATTAAAGACAAACTATAGAATAGTAATTAGTTATCGGTTGTGAATTGTTCTTTGTGGTTGTCAGATTTCGTTCAGTAAATTCTACAATATCTTAATTTAACTGAGTGAATCAAGATTGAAAACTGTTATATCTAGTAGTCAAATTTGTTTTAAGAAATATCTGTTTAATCATTGGTGTGGTTATGTTGGTGTTGATTTTCTGTCTCATCGAAACCTCTTGGATATATGTAGATACATATTTTCGAATGCAGTGCTTATCTGGAAGTTCTCAAATATTTATTGGAAATCTGCAGTATGTTCTAATGACAGGAGCAAATCGAAAGAGATGACCAAATGATATGATGTCGATTGAAAGAAGCTGAATTAAAGAGTAAATGAATACAGCGTTGAAACTCTTTTTCTAGGTGTAAATGAGTCACAGTAGTAAATTTTGTTATTGTGTTAGCATAACTTTTATGAAAGCCACATATTGGAACGACGATCATCAGTGTAGATGCCATAAACGATGTTTTAATATCAAAGCGAATATCGTAGGCAATTAATCGTAACTATTTTTATTCGTTCAGCGGGTCATTATTTTCCTGTTATACCCTATGAATGAATAGAGTTGATCGTTATACAAACTGTGTCATATAAGTTATATGGTATTTGCTAGTCTCTTTTCGAGCAAGTAAATCACTACGTTACACAGCGTAGATTTGTACTACATCGAATTACGATTGAGTATTTCGAAAATGTGAAGAGAATAACAAAAGATCCTTAATTGAAATGTTTATTTTAATTAAGTTTCCATTGTTAGTTGTCCGCATTCATTTATCTACAATGAAAAGGAAAAAAATAGAAATTATTCAGTATTTTGTTGTTGTTGTGACAGTGTCTATGTGATTTAAGCGTTCAATTGTTAGCTGCTTTATTACGCTTAATTCGCTTTCGTCAATTAGATATGTGCAATACAGCCCTTATACACTTGGGCAATGATTCGAGGTGACGTACAATGATCTGTACTTGGTAACTGATTGAATAAATTTGTTTCCAATTTTTATTTGTAAGTAGTACATTCTGTAAGACTAGTTAAAATAGCTATTCAGTCTAATTATTATCACGAATAGAACAGTAAATAAATGTCTGACGTGTTACTTTCATCTGAATGAGTGTTGAATAAACGGCGCGGAGTTGCTAACGAAATTTACGGTTTCATACAGTAGTAGTACGTTGTGTTGTTTGAATTAATCACATGAAAATTAGTAGTCTGTACCATTCGGTGAATGACATACAACGTCTAGTGAAATCTTCACTTGTGAAAATTAGATTTACATAATAGACAAGCTAGCTCATATTGTTAATGAGATTCAAATGAGTTTTTCTGTTCTACACTGTCTTCACATTCAGTTACTATGAAGAGATATACTTGGAGATGAATAGCACTGGTGTATTTAATCTATATGACATATTTTCAATGTTGTTGGGTGAATGTGTAAAGTGTTCAATGTGTTCCAATTGTAAGTTTGTCTAGTCTGTTGTAAAGTGTAATGCGTTTTTATTGAGGTAGTCATCTTAAACTGGCATCAATGACTGTTTTTAATTTGATTGGGCATCTATAGTCAAATATGCAGTTAGTAATACAAGATTAAATTACGTCTAGTAACTTTAAGTAAAATAGAACGTACTGAGAAGTAATTCGTTTTCTTATCGATGAATACTGACCTACAAGAAGAACATAGTTGATATGGTTTTTGAAATGAACACACATGGGATATTCTGAAGAATTTTAGATTTAAATAATGTTAATTATGGTGTATGTCAGGTAGCGTTTACGTTGTTCAGTTAACATACACCTACTGGAGTCTACTGAGAAGGATTTCGAAACAATTTCTTAACTGTGGTTTCAAACTTACTCCATTGTTCTCCCAACCGCTTCTGGAATTCTTGTACTATATATAGGATGAAAAAACCGAATAAATTGTAGAGTTTATAATTTTGATAAACTACGTCTTCTCATTGCATTATCGAAATTATATATTTAATGTGTAATTACTAATAACTGAATGGAAAGTAAGTGAACACATCCGTTAATGTTAATTATGGTGTATGTCAGGTAGCGTTTACATTGTTCAATTCACATACACCTACTGGAGTCAACTGAGAAGGATTTCGAAACGCTTTCTAAACTAGGGTTTCAAACTTACGCCAATTTTTTAACGTCTGTCTCTGGAGGTCTTCTTCTATATAAACGATGAAAAAACCGAATAAATTGTAGAGTTTATAATTTTGATAAACTACGTCTTCTCATTGCATTATCGAAATTATATATTTAATGTGTAATTACTAATAACTGAATGGAAAGTAAGTGAACACATCCGTTAATGTTAATTATGGTGTATGTCAGGTAGCCTTTACGTTGTTCAGTTACCATACACCTACTGGAGTCAACTGAGAAGGATTTCGAAACAATTTCTAAACTAGGGTTTCAAACTTACGACTTCTCTCTGCAAACGAGTTCTGGAATTCTTGTACTATATATAGGATGAAAAAACCGAATAAATTGTAGAGTTTATAATTTTGATAAACTACGTCTTCTCATTGCATTATCGAAATTATATATTTATTGTGTAATTACTAATAACTGAATGGAAAGTAAGTGAACACATCCGTTAATGTTAATTATGGTGTATGTCAGGTAGCGTTTACATAGTTCAATTAACATACACCTACTGGAGTCAACTGAGAAGGATTTCGAAACGCTTTCTAAACTAGGGTTTCAAACTTACGCCTATTTCTTAACGCCTGTTTCCGGAGTTCTTCTTCTATATAAACGATGAAAAAACCGAATAAATTGTAGAGTTTATAATTTTGATAAACTACGTCTTCTCATTGCATTATCGAAATTATATATTTATTGTGTAATTACTAATAACTGAATGGAAAGTAAGTGAACACATCCGTTAATGTTAATTATGGTGTATGTCAGGTAGCGTTTACATTGTTCAATTAACATACACCTACTGGAGTCAACTGAGAAGGATTTCGAAACACTTTCTAAACTAGGGTTTCAAACTTACGCCTACTTCTTGCCACCTGTTTCCGGAGTTCTTCTTCTATATAAACGATGAAAAAACCGAATAAATTGTAGAGTTTATAATTTTGATAAACTACGTCTTCTCATTGCATTATCGAAA